GAGAGAGAGAGAGAGAGAGAGAGAGAGAGAGAGAGAGAGAGAGAGAGAGAGAGAGAGAGAGAGGTTTGTTTATGAAAGGGCTGACTCACGGTTTGTTGTCTGATGGGTACAGGTTCTTGAAGCAGAGTCAAGACATTTTAATCTTGACTGCGTGGACTTGTTCGCGTTTGACCCGGAGCTGTACCACATGATGGTAGAGCATCCTCGAGAGATTGTCCCAATCTTTGATATCGTTGTCAACAGTATGGCCGAGGACCGTGTCCTCCAGCCCTTAGAGAGGCATATTCAGGTAATTAATTGTCCGGTCCGTCATAACTGGTTCCTGAAAGCACTCATCATCTGAGCATATGGCCGGCATGCAAGTCTCGGGTTTCCCTTTTTCTTTTTTCTTTTTTTTTTCGTTTTTTTTTCTTCAGAAAAATCTGGTTGCCCGTAACCTTGTTCTTTCCATCAGGATTTCGACTCATGATCATTTTCTTCTTCTTTTTTTGAATTTTATGTGTGTGCCATTCTTTTTTGCGTTTTTTTTTTTGGATTTTTTTTTTTTCTTTCCCCGCATTGGAGTTACCAAGTCTGGATTTATTGTTGTCAAATTTTTGCGTTTTTGTTTTTGGGATTTGTTTTTTTTTTTTTGCTGAATTTCTGGAAAGGTGATAATGGATAGGGAGACTCGTGCCTCGGATTGTTCAAAATTGAAGTTGAATATGACTGCCCCACTGGACTCCGGAAACGTTGAGTTTTTTTTTTTTTGCATTATTATAATTCATAAATTGGGAAAAAGGAGAGACATTTTTGTATTCTGGCCACCGGTATCACTCCTACCATCCTTCTCTTCCTCCTATTCTCTCTCCTACTCTCCTCTTAAAAAAAAAAGTTACAGAGTACTACAGACTGTTGATATCTCTCTTCTCCTAGTCTAAAAGACTACCCCCTATGAGCACAGACCCTGCCTCCCAATTCATGCCTCTGTTTGACTCTCACTTCAATTGCCTCCTGAATGTCAGCATCCTGTGCTTCCCCGTATTCCGCAGAAGGTTAAAAAGTCAAAAGCGGTTTTACTTAAACCGTCCCAATGTCTTTTTGACGGGTTAGGTCAGCCTGGGGTGCGTAGGGGTTTGTGTATTGGGGTGCTAGATTTGCCTCACTAATGCATCCTGTACTGCTTTTTGTAGCTAGGTTCGTTGCACGCTGATCAGCAGTTGTGCTTCTTTTTCTGGCAATGTGTGAAATGTGTGAAAGGTTCGAACCTTCAACCTCAAAGCTACAGTGCACATGCGAGAGCTCAATCCAAACGGTACGTACTACGTATGCTTCTTTACCCCCTCAGTAGTTTAACCCACACCGTTAAGATTTTACCGTCAATCCAAACAGTGAAGATTTTACCGTTAATCACAACCAAAATCAATCCCTGCCCTGTTTTACATGCTTGGTTTGTTGAAGACTGTTTTCGCAGCCTGGCAAATCCCCCTGTTGAATCTACTGATCTGAATTTTTTTTTTTTTTTTGACCATTTTTCTCGATTTGTACGTCATCGTTGTGCAGGGGCCATGCTAATTTTCTCTGTATCGTTCCAGTTTTAACGGATGTCCCGACGAAGGACACTGGCCTGATTTTTCTTCCCTCGTGAAGCAACCAGAATTACATGAGACTCTCCGTGGCATTCAGCATCCTGTGACAACACAAACACATGCACTCTGTGTGTGTGTGTGTGTGTGTGTG